TTTTTTTTTTTTTTTTTTTTTTTTTTTTTTTTTTTTTATTCAAACATTTATGGTCTCCCTTAGTTACAGAAAGCATTCCTCCAGGTACATCAGGGAATATGAATTTTTTGAAGGCACTGGGCCTACGAGCTGAATTAAAACTTAAAAATTCAAAGCCTGACTACAATTTTTCTACTTGAAACTTACTTGTTTCCTTAAATTTAAAAGAGGTTTTTTGTTTTTTTTTTTTTGTTTTTTTTAAATTTCACCTTATTTTCATCTACTTGGCTTTTTATATTTCATGAATGTGAAAAATGTGGAAAACTGCATATATATATATATATACACATACATATAATAAAGAACTGTTATCAGTTTCTATCTAGGTGAACTTTCTGTCAATGGCAATATACTTACTCTCAGTTTTGAGGATGACAGACTGGTCTACAACCCTAACTCTGCGAACAATAGCATTTGCCAGAAAAGCACCTAGACGCTCAATAAAACCTTCTGATGCAGTACGCTAATAAAATAAAATGCTGAGAGGGATATAATGTGATGACCTTCCAAGACTCTCTTGAATACTTGTTAAAAATAAGAGAAAAAAAGACAGAAGTTATTGAAGTTAGTAAATAAATGGTACAAATAACTTTAAAATGAATAAAAAAAATAATTAAACCTCAAAATACATTTAGTATTTTCAGTTATATGTGCCCAAGATATATATAACAGACTCGTTTTCAAATGTAGTTATTTCTGTAATTTAAATCCTCATTTTGTATCTATGGATTTAATGTTTCTTTAGTCTATGTGAAACTGTAGGTAAGGGCATAAACACCGTAACATAATTTCCGACACAGAACAGCGCTTAAAGAAAAGAAGAAAGTGAAGAGACAAGAAACAGACAGGGTAACAAGAACTCCTAGTCATTAAAACCCAACATAATCCTACTTGATTTATGTAGTTAAAAAACAAAACTCATTCCATGAATATTTCATTGCTTGCCTCCAAAAAATTGTTGACATCCTCTGTGGCCATCTGTCAAGGTGGGCCTTCTTCTGTGTTTGATGGAATTAGTTGAGTTTCAGGGTTCTGTGGACTGATGGAAGAAAATATTCTGTGCTCTTGATTTCTTGTAATTATTTCCCTGGTTCTGTTAAAAGGCAAACAAGAGTAAATTTACCAACTTTGTGAACAGATATTCTATATGTATTGATTCATATTCAATAAAAGGTAAACTTTTTAGGAGGTTTGATTAGAATCCTATAATTTGACTTTTAAACACAGATGATGTGCTAATACTATGAGTAATATGGGGCTGCATAAGTCAGGTGACATGACTCTTTTGTCTTACACTCAGAGAAATGAACTCCATCAACCTCTACTTGGATCCAAGTTCAACTCAGTCCAAACTGGATCAGACCTACTGATGCTTTCACTCAGATTCTTGGGCAAAACCTAAATGCTTACTGAGGTAAGCCAGTGAACAGTTGTTTGTTTTATAGAAGCTCCCTTTATTTATACGTTTTCATTACTTATAATAAAAATGAATGGTAGACTACCTTGTATAAGCTTTCACAAGGATCTAATTGGTGGAGTTGAGATATGAAACTGTTCAGATATGGTTTTAGTCTATATTTTTACAGTTATGTTTCAGTCTCATTGGACCATACTGGCTAGATTGTCTGATATTTACTTATCTATCTATAAATATGACAATGATATATATATTTAAATTTATAGTTTACAAAACTGTCAAAGAACAAAGTTATCGTAAAGTTGGGGTAGAATACTTTTATCTTGAGAAAACAGTAAACATAAAATATATTACATTCTTAGACTCATTCACAGCAACAGATCTTTTGGGATTTCTTCTCAAATTACCCAAATGCTGGCTCTCAAAGCTAACAGGGCAATTCACAAATCTACTACTGGTCTTGGACAGGAGATACAATGGAATACTACTCAGCAATCAAAAAGGAGGAAATCATGAAATTTGCAGGCAAATGGTGGGACCTAGAAAAGATCATCCTGAGTGAAATATCCCAGAAGGAGAAAGACAAACACGGTATATACTCACTTATATAGACCTATAAGATATAATAAACATAATGAAATCTATACACCTAAAAAAGATAATCAAGAGAGCGGACATGGGGTAAAATTATCAATCCTCGTTTTGAAAGACAGATGGGATGCACATTAAACATTGACAGGAGTCTACTGAGCGCATTTGAAAAACTCTAACTAGCAGTGTTTTCAAAACAAAGACTCATGACCAAACCTTTGGCAGAGTACAGGGAATCATAAGAAAGAAAGGGAGTTAGTATGAAGAGGAAAGGATAGGAGCTCCACAAGGACCAAACATATCTGGGCACAGGGTCTTTTCTGAGACTGACATGCAACCAAGGACCATGTATGAATGTAACCTAGAACCTCTGCTCAGATGTAGCCTGTGGTAACTCAGTAACCAATTGGTTTCCCATAGTGAGGGGAACAAGGACTATTTCTAACAGGAACTCAATGACTGGCTCTTTGGCCTCCCTACCCCCTAAGGGAGGAGCAGTCCTGTTAGGCCACAGAGGAGAGCTTTGCAGCCAGTCCTGAAGATACCTGATAAAACAGGATCGGATGAATGGGGAGGAGGTTCCCCCCTATCAGTGGACTTGGCAAGGGGCACGGTGGAGATGAGGGAGGGAGGGAGGGACTGGGAGGGAATGAGGGATCGGGACACGGCTGGGATACAGAGTTAATAAAATGTAACTGATAAGAAAAAAATAAAATTAAAAAAATATTACAATGACAGTAATATATTTGTTGTGTGATCTTTAACTTATATCTAGCCCTTCATAGATACATAGAAACAATTCAGATCAGTGATCCAAGTTGTACTAAGAAAGTAATCATATGTGTTTTTGAAAAACTACCAGAAGATAATTGATTTTTAGCTAAGAGAAACAGTTCTATAGAGTATGCCCATCAAGTTTCTGTTGAAAACTTCTTTGTTAATTTGTCAGTGTGTTACATCTTGCTTCAGTTATTCTTTGTTGTCTTTGGTTTACATTAATTTGTGTAGTGGGATAGTACATGTGTGCCATGGTGCACATATGGTTGTCAGAAGACAAATTGTGGGAGTTGATTCTCTCCTTCCATCATGTGGGTCCCAGGGCTCCAACTCAGGTCCTAAGTCTTTGCAGCATGTTTTCACTAGCTGAGACACCCCACCGGTTCATTTTAATTAATATTAAGCCACTATAATATATCAGTGTTAAATGACTTTAATTCATGTTTCTCCCACAATATTGAGAATCCACCCCTTGTTCTTGATTAATTTTGTTTTATTTATGACTATATCATTAATAAGCTGAAGAAGATGCTTAGATTATAATGTGAAGTCTTATTTAGTTTATCTCCATAATTTTAGGATTATGTGAAATTTATAGTAGTTGTTGCAAGACATTTCATCAGACTGTGAACCCTGAGATTGTGAACTGTAAAAACCTGTTTCTAATTGTGGTATGGCTCAGTCTTTGATCCTAGAGCTTACAGATTATTCTAAACAAGTACTTGTGGTGTGGCTCAGCCCTAGCACACACCTTTAATTCAAGAGCTTTCTGTTAACAGAATTAAATAAAGTTAACCCTAGGTCAAGAGTTGAAGCAAGCAACCAGCTGGCAGGGATTAAACAGAAAGGAGGGACATTGAGAGAAGGGTATTTAAGACAGCCTGGAGAAGAAGAGCTTTTTCCTTCTAGGACATGAGCTGAATAGGAGGGCTTTTTTCCTGCTGCGATGTAAGCTGAGAAGAAAGGTCAGCCGGGTGCTTTCTCTGCTTCTCTGAGCTAGCAGGCTTTTACCCCAGCATCTCCTCCTAAGTCTCCATTGGTAAAATTAAACGTTTGGTATTTTGTAATTATAACAACAAGTAATGGTCAGAGTAAATTAAGAAAAGATGTAAATAATGTATAAAGTAAAATTCTGAGGAAAACGACTTAGAAACAGTGACTTAGTGGAGTGTGTAAAGGATAAACAAATACGCTCCTGCTCTGCTGAACTGCTAGATGGATGGTTCCTGGCAGCTCACAAGGTTCTGGTGTATTTGTTAGAAGGTAGCCATGGAGATGAACTCTTCACAATCAAATGAAGCTCAGTGACTGCACAGGGCACTGTTTAGAACTGGGAGGCAAGGACAGTGCATCTGCTTTGGCATTGCTAATCAGGATCTGATGTCCTGAGAGTTCACCAAGAACTATAGAATATTTTCAAATGTGATACATATATGATATGATGACAAAATATATTTAGATTATAGAAAGTAAAAATAAGCAGATTTGTACAACTACCCAGATAAACCCATGTACTCACACACCATATACACCCTCACATCCTCCTTCCTTCTCACCATCCCTTGCCTTTCTCACCCTCCAGACACTCTGCATATTTTAACACTGAGAACAATTTTCAAATGTTTGGTAGGGTGGCACCCTATCAGTTTGTCACACAGGAGTCTGCCCTGTTTCAGGCCTATTGTTTAGGAATACCAACCCCAAAAACTCAGAGGAAAAGTCACCTTTGTTCCACTGCAGAGATGAGTGGTAATATATTTTTCTTTAAAGTCAAATTTTATTTATTAAAGTAATTCATGCCAGTGGTGAACATAAAAGAAAAATGTTTCACTTCCTTTTCCCACAGAGAAATAACACAAATGCATTCTTGTATGGCTCATTCCACATATTTTATCCACCTGTCTTCTAAACTTTTGGGGACAGATTACTTAATCATTCAGTTTCTCAAATCTGAGAAAGGAGCTTTGATATAGTTGCTATACATTAACGAATACCAAACAATGTCAGGCAGCAATTCATAATTAGCATTTCTACAGTTGGTATTTAGCCTCTGATTCTGCTTAAAATTCACTGTAATATCAAAGTGCTCTTAGTATTTCAATTTTAGGTTTTAGCTATAAAAGAGTTAACAGAAAAGGAAATTTTATATTTCAAACCTGCTGTGCCTTCAGAATGGCTATGATAGACCTACATGAACTAGATCCATGGAGCCACAATATATTATACAATATATTTTATATTTTAGATACAATGAAAATTATAATCTAAAAAATACATATAATCATATATATTTATTTATTTAGCTGCTTCACTATGAATGGGACAAAACCTTGTCTTCAGTCCTAATGTTAACACACTCAATAATTGAAAGCTATAGAGAATGGTAGTTTTAATTCCTCAGTAAACATAGGTTAGTGATTTAATCACACACAAGTACCCATTTGTTTCTGGGTTTGCATACATTCCCTGGAAGTAGCTTCTATAGAGGATTCAGGCGCTGACTCAAATAAGGAAGACACTTAGCAATCTGTGGAAATACTCATTCACCATCTTAAAATATTGCCTCTTATATCACGTCTGGCAGTGCATTCATATGTACCCCAGTCAGATATATGCTCTGCCTCGAACTCACAGAGATCCGCCTGCCTCTGCCTCCTGCGTGCTGGAATTACAGGTGTGTGCTACCGTACCGAGTCCACATCTCAATTTTCATTTCCCACTTTTTAAAATTTTATATACTTTATCATAAATTAAATATAAATATATGTGATATGTAAATAAATACATGTATTGTAAATAAAAATTTCCTATCTGGGCTCACAATGCTCTGTCCTTACAAGAACCAAAACCCGTCTAGCTGAAAACGCTGACACCAGGCATTCATAAGAAGCCTTCCTTTTAGCTGATAGCCTAGCTTGCTCAAGAGACTTGCAAATATTACAAAAGGCACTATTGCTAGTGCCCTCTGTTGCCTCCCAGAGACAGAAGGTAAATTATATTGTTGAAGACAGCATAAGGGCCCAGAGGCCTGTGAGCTGGAAATGACCTGAAAGGCTCCTTGAGGACTAACTTTCATGGTACCAGAAGTGTTTTGTGGATACAGCCTTTGGGATTAAGTTCCACATCTCTACAATTTGATTGGTAATGATTTCTGTCTGTGACAAAGAGAAATTTCCTTGATGTTTTGAGAACTACATTTGTATATGCATATAAGGACAAGTATTAGAATATAGTTAGCTGGTTTAGAAAAGTGGTGGTTGTAGGCTCTCTTCCACGATCAGTGACTTTACTGTTCCTGGGAAGTCGGC